AACAGATTCCTTCGATCGTGTAGGGTTCTCGGACGGGGCTGGGGAGGCAGCCATCACGGGAATTGGTACCCCAGTGATTGCACTGGGAGTCGACCGTTTAAGTACAATTTGCTCCAGATATGTGACAGGACCTGACACGACTCCCATGTTTTCGAATTTATTTTGTAGTGCGGCGAGTTCTGCTCTGGCTCTGGCCAATTCAGACGAATCTTCTTCCCTACGATAGTCTTCTCCTTCCAGGAAGTTCGCAGCGAACTTTCGTTCCATCTCTTATGCCGCTGCCATGATCTGTTGCAACGTGTGGTTAATGGGGGAGAACTTTTTTCGCAGTTTTGCCCTCATCGTCCTACTGCGGAGCCCGTCGATAAATATGTCTCTTCCTACCTGCTCTCCCCTCTCAGTTTTAACAAATATTCGGTTAAACTATTTGCGATATTCGGTGACGGATTCGAGTGTTTTTTGGACTTGATCCTCGATCATGAAAAGGGCTTGTTCTGGAAGAATGTAATCAAAACGATTCAAAAAGTCTTGTTCGAATGTCGGAAGATCAATCCAAACGTATGTGCTGAACCAATGGTGCGCATCCCCTCCCAATCTGGCGAGGATATTGATTCGTGCTTCATCATTGTCGTACCGTTGTGCTCGGAGCGTGGCCAGCCACGCTCCCGCAAGGTGATGCGCGGGATCAAAAAGGTAAAGATTGGGCGGGGCCACAGGTGCCCGTGCCCGCGGTACTGGTACCTGATTAGGCTGATTGGGATTTTGTTGATTCTCGTTCATATTGACTGCCCTACGAGCGGCCGACCTACTTCTGGTTATTACACGGTCGCGTCGTGGCGCGTTCCGCTGTCGAGGTCGTCCTCTGTTAGCCAGATCGTTCTGCGCTGATTTACCCCAGGTGTTAATCCGGAAGCCTGCCACGTGTCGCTCCGATACCAACCTCATGCCCAGCGCGACTTCTCGTTCGGACAGGGATGGGGGTCCCGGAAGTGCGCAAAAAGGGGTGTGCCAAGGATTTTAGGAAAGTGGGGATGGAATCCCAGGTCGGAAATGAGATCTCCTGTGTCAAGTTTCGGGGGTAAAAGCGCAAAAAGGTACGCGCAAATCCTTAAAAGGATGAAGGCGGTCCACCTCTCGTGGTTTGTGCGTGGAAGAGAGGCCACAGATGTCGTGTAGCATAAGGAAGATGACATGTGCAGTGCATCACGGACTAAAAATCGCGGGGAACTCTTCCGTAATCACATCACCGAGAGATCTAGACACTTTTGCATCCTGAACAAAATCGCCCCTAACAACGAGCTCGAATTACGTCATCTTAAAACCCAGGAAATTAATATCACCTCTGATTTCTCCTTCGGGGTCGGTCGCGCGATTCGGCCAGTTGTCGGCGCCGATCGTAACAGGCTTCGGATTCCGCCGAGGGGGGCCATAAGCGGAGGTTATGCAACCGCTGCTCAGCTTCGGTTTGAGTCTATCGGGTAGTTACCAAGGCTCGGCACGCCCGGTGATGCTAGCAACCCTCGCACGACGGGTTGGGCCAATAGCGAGCTATGGAATTCCACGGTACCACTGTGAGTTGATGATATGGGAGGAGGAGATGGAAGGGAAGGAAACGGTAGTGATAACGACGAAACCCGGGGATCAGCGAATCCCCCCCGGCGGCCGACAGGCGCGGCCAAGTCCGCGGCCGCGGCCAGGCCGAGAAGCCCGCGGACGTGTCCGTGCGAACGCGCGCATTCGCGGACACGTGGCGGCCGAAGGGGAGGGGGGTTGAAGATTTTGGCGGCGCCACGTGGCGGCGCATCCCCTGCCCCACCTCCCCCCACAAAAAAAAAACGAAAAAGATCAACTTTTGGTGGGGGCGGTATGGGCGAAATCCAACGAAAATGGAAAAAA